ACGTTAACTACGTTACGTTAACGTTACGTTACGTACGTACGTATACTACTACGTACTAGTAGTAGTAGGTAGGTAGGTAGTAGTAGTATATATATATATATATATATATATATATATATATATATATATATATATATAGTAGAGAGAGAGAGAGAGAGAGAGAGAGACTACTATACCCAAACTAATGTGATAGAGAATACCACAAATCAAACAGGCGAGAGTGCACCAATAGTCAAGTTGAAGCGTTAGGCACAAATTGCATAGAACAAGTTATTAAACACAACAAGGAAATGATGAAAAATATGTGAAATTCATGGGAAGGCATTCACTCTTATTGAACAAACTCGACAATAGTTCTATTTACTTTCATCAGACAGAGAGAGAGAGTGAGAGAGATGCAGCTAGAAAATGCAACCATCCTATACGGAAATAGTGAATAATGCAATAGAGAGACAGTAATTTGAATGGTCAGTGATGTCCCCTACGTATAGACTAAGTCAATGCATTAACCATGAACTGCATAGAATTAGTTATAGGCATATAATAGCAAATTCAACAGGATACATGCAACTTCTAACCATGCCATGAACAAACTTCAAAAAATTTCTTCGTAATAACATCATTCATAACTTTTAGTCATCATACAGCACAAGACAGAAGTAATTAATCTAGCATAGTGCACAAATTGGAATTTTGAAACTCACCATCGCTTATTGTCTTCCTCCTCATTTTCATGCAAGTGGCCATTGGTATGTGCCGAACCAGAGACCGAGCCGTCTTGGGCACCTGGGTGTAGAAGCTGGGAGAAGCCTTGCCCAATTGACTTCCATAATCTAGTAGAGAGAGAGGACTGTGGATTCCCCAAAGCATCCTCCAAAGGAGGAGGCTCAAGAGGACCTGCAGAGGCTGGATTCAACTCAGAGAATCTCACTGCCCCCAGTAACCGTTCAGGCAATTCAGATTCTACTTGGCTTTCTATTAGAAATGCTAAATCAACAGTTAAAGTTTGAATATACCCAAAAGCCAAATGAACAATAGCATTAGCAACCATAGATGCCCCAATATCAACATCTACTTCGATATAATTATCCCCAAAATAATATTTACAAGAAACAGCTCGCCCCAATATACAAATCGCCTGCTCCCCAACTGCTGTTCTAACAATCCAGGGCCCTTTAACAATGTTGGCTATAAGCTTAAGCCTCGAATTCCTAAATGCATCATCTCCCTTTAGAAACTGGTCCATAAGAGACCCATTGGGAATTGGTTCGAGAGCCACAAAGTATGCAACCGCACTGTAATTATCTTTACTAGGGACTTGAAGATTGAATGCCCATACAAATGGCTTTGTGTCTGTAGATAATACTTCATTAAGAACCCTTTTGACGCGACTGTTAGGGTTGTTCAAGATCTCTGAGATTTTCGTGGGGCCTTTGATCCAATCAAAGGCCAGTGGCTTTAAGAGATAATCACCAGCTGGTATTTTAACCTTGGAAGTGAAATATTCGGGGCCTCTGACCATGAATGTGCCACCAGGGGGGGAGGCCCAACAATTGCGACAGTCATCTAGGCCAATAAGTGGAACTGCTCCTTGTGATTTTAGGGCTTGAATCCATTCGAGCTCGTTTTCATAATCATGGCCAGCCATGTAAGAGGGAAAAATGAATAACCTGGAAAGAAGGGAGAAGTAAGGTCCTAATACCACTAAACCATAACTGAACTACATATGCTGGGCCCTTGCAAAAACCAAACCAGATCAAATCATAATACTATAAATGATGTTCATGATGATGACATTGGTGGTGGTTGCGATAACTAGTAACAAGCACAATTAAAACAATGATAATAATAGGTTTAAGCGCATGAACATCTCATGTATGACGTACTCACACACACAAAAATTTTTTTTTTTTTATAATAATGTACACACATAATTAAATGCTTTAGTTACTCACAGCATAAAAAAGATGTAGAATATGGTTTATGGAACCCCAGTGCTTATGAAAGCCAATTTAAAACGTAAAAATAAATTTCTTGAGACATGAAAAAATAGAAGAATTCATCACAAGTCAGCCTCATAATTAAGGCTGATTTCCTAGCTATGTTGCAGGGATACTCTAGGCTCTATTAGGGCTGGGATAGCCCAGGACCTAGTCCTCATAGATTTGGCCCAAGCCCTGCCTGCCCTTGACCGGGCCAAAGAGGCCTGGCCCTAGCCCTATCAAGGTCGGGCCAGGCCAAATAAAATCAAAAGAAAAAAAAAAGCAAAGACTAAGAGAAAGAGGGCTGGGCCAGGCCGAGCCAGGCCGGCCATGGCCTAGGCCCAACCCAACCCTACCCACGGGACATGGCTGCTCAGCCCTAGCCCAGCCCTCAGGCCACATTTTGTGACCCAAGCCCTAGGTTTCTAAGGCCAGGCCATCCAGTCCATTGCCACTCCTGGCTCTATACCCATGTCAAAGTGGTACAAGCAAAGGTACAACATGAATACCAGATTCTAATCACGAGTAGGGGATTAGAATGAATGTGGACATGAGGAATCCAACACGACTGGATTCCTTTCAGGATGAATCAAATTCTTTCCCGACAATAATCCTGCAATACACTATTACATTTTGAACTTTTACTTGTTTTAATATTTGTGATTTTCCTTATTTGAACCCCTAAACATAGAGAAGCGGCAGGCATCTCAAACCTCTAGTTTAGAGGCTCTTATCTCTCCTACTTGTACCACATTACCAGTGAGTTCTTGACTATAACTAGATTCTTGGATTTTCTGTTGGGTTCTTGTATGAATATCACGTGAATCCGTTTCACATTTTTTTGCAGAAGCACATGCATGTTGCAATCAACAGCATATTGATTTTTCAATGTATAATTGTGTAGCTGAATCCTACTTTTCCTTTATTTTTTTCATATAACAAGAAATTGAAGAAAAACAAAAAAGTTTAAAAAATTATATCACTTTATATTATCAAAAAAGGAAAACAGAATAGCAGTTCTTAGTTAAACCTGGAGGCAAAATAGTTTTCACACTCATTTTTCTCTTACAGATACCTAATTAGAACCATGAAATAGTTAGCTGAAAGTTAAATTCATCTCCTACTCTATAACCAGATGTAACAACTACAATTTGTTATAACAATCACAATAATTACAAGACAAGGACTATAAAGCAGGTTGAATCCACAGATCTCTACAGATTTCAATTGTGATCAAGAGGGAAGACCCAATAATTTATCCAGGCATAAAGTTAACCTAAAAGCAAATACACAAGAGATATAACCAAAATATATCTTTTTTCCAATAAAAAAAAATCAGGTTTGATGACCTAAGACCTAAAAATCAAAACTTGTATATAAGTGCCACCGAATCAAAGTCCTAACAAAAGATCTAGAAGTTTAACCCCAAAAAAAAACCAGAATGTTAGAGCAGTTGACGTACTAAATCAAAACCCTAAGCGGAGCTCCAAATGTTTTACCCTGAATCAGGAGCCAAAACCAATATGTAATGAAAAATTTTACCCAAAAAAAGAGAAGAAGAATAACAAATTATCCCCTGATAGAGATGCATGAAACTCTCAAGAGAAAATACCTCATGAAATTAAATAAAAAACGAAAATGCATAGTAAATAACAAAGAGGGATCATAAAAGTTATACCTCAGCAACCACTGAAGTAAATATCGGTGTAATTCAGCGGCTGGTCGGATGAATCTGGGCAAAGAAAAGCGCCAAGTGCGATAATGGATTTTAGAGCGAGAAAATGAGCTTCAGATATATGGTTTTAGAGAGCGAAACAATAGCGTTTCTTGTGCTGTGTGGTTTTCGCCTGTAAAGGAAAGAGGAGAGAAAAAGTTGAAAAAAAAAAAGCAAAACGATTCTTAATTTTTTTAGATAGAAACAATAGCCTTTTGAGTTATGGTTTTCTCCTCTGCATATTAGACGCCTTTAAAGGCCAGATGAGAGAAAAAGTTGAAAAAGGAAACAAATCGTAATTTTTTGGCGTATACAGCACGTACGATTAATGTGACTCTTTAACGTTTAGGAAGAGTGATAATCAGACCATTTAGCATTAGTATAAAGTGGTAATAGTTAATCTTGACCATTGGACGTGAAATTGGGCGGTTGTATTTATTCCATTGACATCTCATAGTTTAAATGAAATTTTTTCGAATTTTACGACCCACCAAAGCTATCAAATTTCGACGGTCATAAATAAGTAATCGTGACGTCGTTGTATCAATGGGGAGAATAGTCCCATCTTGTATAATCTCTTTTCTTTAAATTAGTTATCTTTTTAGGGCTTTAATTGTTGTTTTAAGTCTTTTTCTATTCTCTTGGATTAGTGGATGAGCTGGGATGGTAATGGGCTCAGGCCACCACGTGGGCATTCGGGCCAACCCAAACATTAGGCATGACCAGGCCAATATATCCAAAATACCTTTGGGTTGGGCATGGACAAACACTGGCCGTGCTCCAGCTCAGCATGAAACTTTTTAAATATTAATTTCTATATATAGAGATAATGATCTCTTACAACTAGTAATATAATAAAAAAGAATTCGTCACAAATATACTTTAATTTTCATTTAAAACTTTTTAAAGCGGTTTCTATAAGGTTGCAATCTTTAACAATCCAATTAAGGCGTACCACCAAATTTTATCATAACATATAATTTTGTTGTAAATTTTTTTTAAGATTATCTTAAAATCTAATTTTCTATCTAATTAGAAAAGCTTAAACTAAAAAAATGGTTAAAATCGAGGAGATCTATAAACACATGAAAATCTTCAAAATTGACGGTCTAGATAATGTGTTGCAATATGCATCATTTATGATACTCAAAAATATTTTTTTTTTATATTCATACATCTCGATATCGAGATGTTCAAATAGAGGGTTTTTCAACATTTAAACAACCTTTCCGATATATTTTTGAGGTGCATATGTAATTTTACATTATTCTACATTTTAAGGTTGCAACCTTATATGAACTTTTCCCTTAATTTATATATATATAGATAATGATTTCGTACAGCTATTAATTTCCCTTTATACTTTAAGTTTTGTTTAAAAAAAAACTTAACCTTGCCCATACCCTTTTTTTTCAATTTTAGATTTTTTTTACCAAAATAACCTTCATAGTAGTCATATTAGTGCAAATTTTTTTACCAAAAAAAAACCTTCACGGTAGTTGTATTACGGTACTTAAAGTACTGTAAAAACTAAAATGTTATACATCATTTTAAGTAACGTAAAAACTAACTCATATTATATGGCATTTAAAATACGCTGTAAACTAACCCATGTTTAATTACCATACAAACTAAATACCCTATAAACTAACCCATGTTTAAGTACCATACAAACTAACTACCACATAATCTAACCCATGTTTAAGTACCATGCAAACTAAGCACTCGACATGCCGTAAACTTTTTGCTAGTGTTTACATTTATCTCTTTCATCCCGTTTATATTTATATATTTCATCTCTCTAATTCTTTTTATGTTTATCTCTCTGATTATTTTTATTATTTATCTCTTATTTATCTTTCTAACTCTCTTTCTCTCCCCAAAGAGATTTGTACAACAACCTATGCATACCTTACCATACCCTATAAAAACTCCCTTCAAACCCATCCCTTATGAAAATTAGATGGAGAAAATTTGTATCACCTTAGAATTGTGTTTACCGACTTGATGAAGTAAGTAGAGAGAGAAAGATAGTGAGAGAAATAAGAGATACAAAAATAGAGATAAAAAGAAGAGATAAATATTAAAAAGAATTAGAGAGAGAAATAAGAGACAAATCTAAAACAAAAATTGCCCCATGAAATAGTGAAAAAGATGAATATGAATAGAAGAAAATCGTTTATGGATGCTGTATAACATGGGTTAGTTTTTACGGTACTTAATGACGTATAACATGGGTTAGTTTTTAACTGTATAACATAGGTTAATTTTTACTGTACTTAAAACATGGAATAACTTTTACGGTACTTAATTGCCATATAACATGGATTACTTTTTACGGATTTTCTTTTTTCTAAATAGACATAAAATTAAGGTATACATGTGATAATTTCCCTATAATAAAACAATATTAAGGCTATTTGCTTGGCCTCAACTTTTAAATATACATTATTTTCATTCTAATAAATAATCCAAAATAATAAAAATTTGAAAACAACCTTTTAAAATATTTTTTTAGCCCAATCAATATAAGCCGTCTATTTTAGTGAGATGCTTAGATCTAGGCCTTAGAACAATTTTTTCCCTTCCAAAATTTTCAGATGGCTTTATTATCATTAGATAAAAAAATATTTTTTTTAAAAAAAAGATTTTGAGTTCATAAAGGCATAGATATTAAAATTCACCAAATAGAATGTCTAATTATTGTTGAAGGATAAATCATTTTGACTCTATCTAGGGTGCAAATTGAATTTTATTTTTTTTAAATTGATTATTTGATAAAAAGACAGTGTGTGCAATTGTTTGAGTCATAAAAAAACCACAAATATAGTTTTCTAAAAATATGGTTTCATCATATTACAATGACATAATGACATGAAATTTGTATATGTATTCCATTCCCACAGGGTTAAGCTCATCCAGCAATACTAAGGGTTTAGGTCAGGTCCGGACTGGCCCCCAAATTGGGTTCAGGTACAGAGTTGGCAAAGTCTGTTGGCATCACAATGGTAAGTGATCAAAAAGCTACAAGAGCACTCACTCCTTTTGGTAAAACCTAGCCTTGTAGTAAGGAATGACATTCGTCACATGATCACTAACCCCAAAATCCAAAAAAAACTAGTAAGCACTCTACATATACCTCGATAAAATAATGTCCCAATATTGAATGGAGATCATTTGATTATAGGATCCTCGTATCTAAGTATTTAAAAACTCAAAATCTATGTTTTTTCTTGAAAATATATGTGTGGTTATTAGGATGGGATCCCAAAATCCCTGAAAAGAAAAACAAAAAAATAACTCCTAATTAAAATGTTTCTTAGAAGGAGCAAGTGTTGTGGTATTTAGGGCTAGGGGTGACAATAGACTCATAATCGACCCAGGACCCGTCGGGCGTACTCAACAGGGGTCTGGGTATGGGTCCAATATTTGGACGCCAGCAGGTCGGGTCCGGGTCCAAAACCTAGACCCAAACACTATTCGGGTTCGGTTGGACTCGACCCCGTACCTATTAACTGTTGGATACAAGGTTTAAAAAATCGATGATCCGATCCGAATCGGGAATCGCCCGGGACGCTTTGGATTAAGCCAAAAAGGGGATTCGGGCAGTTTCAAATACTAGAATCACTGATTTTTTCCCGAAACCACCGATTCCGATGATTCTTCATGGAGTCTAACCGATTCTTCGCTAATTCCGACCGATTCTTCACCGAGTCAAGCGGAAAAAAGAGGATAAATAGTTTTTTTTTGAATTATTTTTTTAAAAAAATTGAAACGAAAATTGCCGATTTTTCCAATCCAATCCGCCAATTCCCTTGATTTGACACGGGTATGGGTGGGACCAATTCGAGTCACCGATCCATTTTTTAAACCCTGGTTGGAGATAAAATACTTCAAGCCTATTCGTTTGGGTGTATTAAGGATCATATACAATAATAACTCGTAATCATCTTTAGCTATTAAACGACAAATCAAACGGCTTGAAATCTAATTGCGGGTGATTGTGACCTTGTTGGCAATAATTTGGGTATAGGATGGTAAAAAATGACAAAATAAAAAAAGAAGCTCATAGTGAGGGTTACAATGGACCCAACTAGACCCGAGATTTCGCGGGATAGACCTAGGACATAATGGATACAATATGGGCGGTCCAACGTTTGGACCAAACATGTCTAAAACATAGACCCGAATACTATTCGGGTATGGGTCCGAGTCCAGCCGGACTGGACGCATACCCAACCCATTGCCACCGCTATTTAGGGGTAAAGTGTGATTCGATCGAAATAACTATTTGAGAAAGTTATTTCTCACTAGACTCCCAATTCCCCATATTTGTTTCATGGGAAAGTGAAGCATGTAGGAAAGCGCACTCACTTTAAAACAAGTGTACCAAATTTCGAGTTATAAATTTTTTAATCGTGATGGAAATAGATTTTAGAACTATTACATGAGTTTCCATTGCCCAAAGTACTTTTGAGACGAGGGTTTGAGGTAAGGCTTTACTACCTCTTGTAGAAATCACACCCTTTAAAAAAAATTGACAAACACGTTGTGGATATGACTAGACAATTTGCAGTACATTTCTATCAAGTATTCAAAATTGATTATTTATATTTTTACAAAAATATAATTTTCATAAAATAACCTCGAATTGTAAATAAATGAACCATGAGACCAAATAATACGCACTAAAAATGGGTTAACAAATCCAAATAAAAAAGCTTCCAATAAAAAACATTGGGAATTAATTGTAATTAGAGCACATGAACAAAATTTACACAAATGTAGTGGAGGAGGGTTGAAAATTTAGGTTTTACTATTTGCACCTTGTTTCGGTTAGAGCAGTTGAAAATTTAGGTTTTACTATTTGCACATTGTTTTGGTTAGAGCAAAAGTAGAGTGCAGATAGCAAAATAGCTCAATAATATAATAAGAAAAATATAAACTATATTCACATAATACCAATTTTATTGTGTCATCCATGCAATAAGATCCATTGATTCTATTCGATTTAATAATAACACAGAGATTTATTCTCTCCTGAAAATCTAGGATATCTATTGACAAAATTAGTGCACACGTAAATAAGATTTATTTGCATTTTTTTTTTGTATCTTGGCAAAATAGGATTTTCATAGCGTGCATATGATTAAAAATTGCAAAAAAACCCCAAAATGGATTTTTTACGCACTTTATCGCACTCAATTTTTCAGATGAAAATACCCTTCCCTCATATAACAAAAAATTTTCATTAGAGAGGTGAACAAGCAGTTAGGTGATTATTTTTGCTGGAATGGGCGGTCCGATGTTTTGAAGTTACGGTCCAGCATTTTGAAGTGGCAGTCCAACGTTTTGATATGGTCCGACATTTTGAAGTGGTAGTCCGGTATTTTCAAGTAGTGGTTCAGCATTTTGAAGTGAGCAGTCCGGCGTTATACAAGTACAGTCGGACGTTTTTATTCTATTGGGATCCGAAAATGATTTGTTACATGAGGGAAGGGTATTTTCGTAAAAAAAATATGATATGTTATACGAGGGAAGGGAATTTTAGTCTAAAAAAATGCTTGGTTACATGATGAAAGGGTATTTTCATCAAAAAAAACTGTTTGTATAGAGGTACTTGGTAGGAAATATGATTTTTTGTGGGAAGCTGAATAGTCCATTTTGGAGGGGTTGCAATTTGCCCTTGGGTGGATTTTTTAAACTCAATTTCCAAGGAAAATAAGAAATTAAGTCTCTCAATGATTTTAATTTTCACACAGCAACTTTAATTGTTTATATTGTCAAATTAAAATGAAAAAGTTATAAAATAATTATTCTTAATATAAAAGAGTCATAACATGCAAGTCTTATTTGAATTGCAATTGTAGAATGATAATAGATTACCAAAATAATTATAAAATACTTTATAATATAAGTACCTTGATATAACCCTTTTAAAATTGAAAAATATATTATTTGAAAAAAAATATTAATGTTAAATGAAAACAATAAAATAATGTATATTCCTAGTAGTTGCATTGCATATGCTAAGAAGTAGTCTCCCCATTGTTGGCTCCTACAATCTTAAAATATTAATGGTTCGTCCGTTAGGAAACCCAATATGGTTGGGGTGGTGGCGTCATTAGGGATGATGGACGCGGTTTCAAAGTTGCTTTCGTATCACGTCTAGGTAAACTATCTAATAATGTTGCATAATTCCAAGCATGGTAAAGAGGCATCAAATTGGATATGGAACCGAAATTTTTTGCTCCTTAAAAAAAATATTCGGTTTATATAGAGCCTAGGATATAACCAATCAAATTAGAGCATACCTTCAAATAGTATTGAGAAATATGATTTCAATACTGGTGTTTACGATGAAAATCGAACAGATCTTCCGATGAATATATCTTGGATCTTGACACTTTAAACTGATAAACAAAATGTGGTAAAGAAAGTGAGATAAATCGAATTCAGATCGAAAACCAGATCTGCCCATAAATGAGTAGATCTACTCTCAGATATGTGGCAGAGCCAGCATGATCAAAAACATTAAAACACAAATTCAAGCAACAAATTGATTAAAATGAAATAAAGACAATAAGAAGAAGAAGAAATAAAGGGCAAGAGAATAATACCGATTCGGGCCGGATAGCCCAGGACTCATGAGCCTTGGAGGGCTCGTCCGTATCAGAACCGGCGTCCTCTTTACCTCTCTGATTCAGATGTTGACCAGACGGTCTTTGGTTGAAAATGATTGTTGTGCCTTAGAGATGATTTAGAACTAGGGTTTCCCTAGGTATATGTAAAGGTTTATCAGGCATAATGGTTTTAGGTCACAGGTAGGCTATGTGGACTATAGATTTGAGTTTACTAGGACAATGTGGTCTTAAGGATTCAAGAAACCACAAAATTTGTTAGATTTAAAATAGGGTGTCTACAACTGGAAATTTTCGTGATAACCTTAAAATACATTTTCACATTTATTTATAAAGTTTAAAGTTTTAAAAATAGTATAGATCGACAAACTTAAAAATCTTGAAAATTGACGGTCAAAAAATGCATTACAAAATATTATTTGCAAAACTTGAAATCCATTTTTTTTCTTATGTCCACGCATCTTGATGTCGAGATGATCAATTTGAGGATATTTGAGCATCACAACAACTTCTTCTAGTTAAATTTTTGAGTAGGCTCAAATATGATTGTTTAGAGCCTCAGCCCTATATAAACTTTCCTCAAAATGACTCCCAACATTGAGTGCATTATTTGGAAGGCCGCTGTAACACCCCTTGAAGGGTTGGAGCCTCATCCCCACTGATTTATCCCTTAAAAAGAAAAAGAAAAAAGGTAGCATATTCTTCTTGGCCACAGTAACAATATGATCCCATGATTTATCGCACTCCAATCAACGGGTCGAACGGTGCGGAAGGAGGATGCGAAGTGTAGTAAATCTATATTTCCACTTCATCATGGTCCAGCCCCCCAACGGACGCTTGTAACCTCGTCTTCATGCAGTCAAGCTATGTATCATACTGTAAAATTACTAACATGGCTATTGATTAAGTGAAGATGACTCATATAACCCTTCATCAAGTCAAAAAGCTTCTCGTAGAGATGAAGGCGTTTTTTGCTCCATATAAATTCAGTAAACTCTCGCTGTAACATTCGCAGAAAGCAGTGCCCTAAAATATCTCTCCCTCTTTCTCTTCTCTGTCCTCTCTCTCTTCTCTTTCCTCTCTCTCTGTGAGTTCTGGTTGAGCTTTGGCGGGAAAAACCCCTACCATGGACGCTCTGAGAAAGCAGCTGGACGTTTTGATGGGGGCGAATAGGAATGGCGACGTGAGGGAAGTTAACCGTAAATATTATGATCGAGATGTTTGTCGCCTGTTTCTTTCTGGTCTTTGCCCTCATGAACTTTTTCAATTAACGGTGAGTAATCCTTGTAGTTATCAGGAGTTTTGATCTCTCTTTTTCTTCGTGATTTCCGGGGATGAATTTGTGTTAGCATGGTGCATTGATGTTGGTTTTGTGGTTTTGTTTTACAAGTTTAGATGTTTAGATGGATCTTGTTGGGTTTTGTGGTTCGAGTGATCATGGAATTGTTTTTAGGGTTTTGGGGTTAGTGTGTTTTGGAGGTTTCGGATGGAGCAAGGCGAGTATTATGGGTGGATTTGAAGGCTTCAATGGTTTAAGGTTTCAGAGATAGTGGGTTTAGAGTTTTAGGAAGCTTGAGATCTCAAAGATGAGTGGATCAGTTATTGAGTGTAGTGACATCGAAATTGAGGGTTAGAGGGATTCAAGGTTTGTATATTAATGATGCATGACTTTGAATTTGAAATTTTTTGTGCTTATGGGCTTCAGGGTTTTCAAGATTGAGGAATTGGAGAATTAGGATTTGAGGAATTTGGGTTTTGGAAACTGGGTTCATAGAATTACATATTGGTATTTCATTTTTGCTATTTCTTTTTCTTCCAAACGACTAATTGGAAGGCAGTAATTTTTTGAGTAGTCTCCCACTCTGTTGTTTAGTTCCATTTATTCATTTCCTTATTATGTAAACAGGGCTTGTATATTTCTCATTAGTTGTTTGGTCCCGCATCATGTCTGCTTCATCCCCTTTTTTTATCCTTACACATGTCAATTTGCATTTCCATGGATGTGAGTTTGATCATCCTAGTATTTGTAAGTTTGACTATCCTTTATGCTTTTTTACTTTGTTTTAAATGTAGTTGTAACCTTACACATGTCAATTTGCATTTCCGTGGATGTGACTTTTGGGTTATATGGCCCTTTATATCTGGTCGAGGGTTTAATATTGATTATGTTTTCACTAAGTTGTTCCTCCAGCTTCCATGTACTGCAATGTAGCTCTAATTGCCATAATGCCGGTGGAGTTATGATTAACGTTGGGTTTGATTTTAGATATTAGCTGTTGCGCAGATCTCTGTCACTACTAACTTGTTAAATGTTCCCTTGTCTGTGACAGAAAATGGATCTTGGCCCTTGTCCAAAGGTGCACTCATTGCAGCTGAGGAAAGAGTATCCTTAACATTCATTCAGAAAGCTATTGTATTTCTTGATCTGCTTCTTGCTTGAAGTGTTCACTATCTGCAATGTTATTTTGAGATACGTTTTATTTATACACTACTTGTATGTGTGCCCGCGCGCGTGCATGTGCATGTGCATTTGCGTGTGTGTGTGGATGTTCAACTTTAGTTTTGATACTCATTTAGTTTTGAATATAAAAATATGGTATCTTCTGATGGATGGGAGATTTGGTTATTTTTTGATTTTTTCATGTTTGTCTATTATATTTGGGCGATGTAAACTTGGGATTGGGCAGTGCTTTCTTGTGCCTTTTTTTAAGCGTATGCATGAAGAACGCTTTGGGTTTTGATGTTTTGTTGTGTTTTGCTGGAATCTAAAGTGCTGTTCGTTTTGTGCCTTAAAATTTTATGACTGGCATACCTTTTTGCATTAGCATTTTTTCTTTGACAGTTGACAGATATGAAGAGGCCAAGGCAAAAGGTACTGATAATTATGATAGAGACCTGGAGGATCAAATAGAAAGACTTATTGTGGAGTGTGATAGGAAAATTACTAGAGCCCTTAAGCGTCTTGAGGATGAGGATGCTAAGGCTGCCATTGCTATATCTGTTTCTGAGGTTACCCAGGTAATGCTAGTGTTTCAAGTTTTTATTTGGTTTAGTATAGCCTCATCAGCAAGTTCGTTGGAGAAGACTAATTTTCTGGACACTGCAAAATGCAGTCACCCGAAGTTCTGGAGTTATCAAAGCAGATAAAGGAAAAACTTAAAGAAGTTGATACTCTAGGTAATTTGTCTCTTGATTCATTTTTATTGTTCTTTTGTCATTTTTTTTCTGCTAAAAAACATAAATCCTCTAAGGATTTTTACATATGGGCTGTGGAAAACATTTGTCTTTGTTATTGATCTTTGCATCCGTTTGTTTTTAGATCACTCATATCTCTCCCATAATCATTTGTTTTTGATGGAGACTTTCAATCTTCATATAACCTCGTCCATAGCTTGAAAACTGTTTCACAATGGGGCGACATTTCAAGACAGCCCTCATTGTAGAAAATTAATATCTTGCATTTTTGCCACGTAGCTACTAACTTTGAGTATCATTCCTATATTGTTTGAGTAAAACTTACTATACACTTGCATTTATAGTTGATCTTTGATGCGAGTTTTCTCTATGGGGTATTTAAATGATGGTTTACGCTGCAAGAAAAGAGAAAAAAAGAAAAGGAAAAATAACTAATTGAAATGGTTTTATTGACAAATAACAATGCATCGATTATGTTGGGGCCCAAACTCTTCAGATTTGGAAGGGAAGACGGACAGTAAAATCAGAGCCTTAGAAGTGGTAGAAGAGCTTAGAGCTAAAAGAGCTGATAAGCAGGTAGGTCGACTGTAGACACAATCTGATCTCTTGTTTTGCATGATCATTCCCATCTGCTTTTTAGTGAACCATTTGTTCACTTCACACGTGGTTACCATATGTATTTTGCATACTCACTTAGTGCTATTATTGTATATCAGTCAATGCTTCTACTTGATGCCTTCAACAAGGACAGAGCTTCTTTGCCACAGCCACTCCAAAACCCTCCATCATTGGCACCCTTACCAGTACCTCTTCCTCCAGATCCTCGTACACAGGAAATGATAAATGAAAAGTTAAAAAAATCCGAGGAACTTGGTGAGCATAATAGTCCATCAATTTATATTATGCATATTTCAGTATTGTCTTTGGTAATTTGAATATATACATTCTGCTATTTCAGTCTTGCTGTTTAAGAAATGGGCTTCAGCTTCTCTGCTGTAAGATTAGTTGTTTATGTTCTCTTATTTGCTTTAGATGACTAAATTACTATTTCAGAACTTCCACTGTTTATTGCATGCTATTGTTTCTATTGTTAATTGTAATAAACATATTGCTTAGTCATTTTTCTATTTAATATGGGAACCATTGTTTGATTTACTTTGTTAAACTGGAAATATTATTCTATGCTGAGACCAATAGGGATGCTGATTGGTTGGGGTGCCGCTATTATTGAAGGTAAAGTTCGTGGGGGTATCATAATATGTTGTTATTTTGTATGCTTCTTTGTAAATGTGAGTATTGAGGAGTAGATGGTAATTTTGAAATTCCTAGCAAGGTTTGATTATTGTTTTAGTTTTCAGACATTCGCTGCGGCTTATACCTAGGTATTTTTGGCTGAAAATAGTTGGGATATCATGAATTATTACCAGTTTCTTAATTTCTAATCGTTGTAACTATGCTTGCGCCTATTTCTATCTCACTCTTATGGTCTTTTCTCTATAATGTTGTGTGTTATGGATGTGAGCTGTATGGCTTTTTTAGGTGAACTTGGAATGGTTGATGAAGCACAGAAAGCATTGGAGGAGGCAGAGGCTCTTAAAAAGGTATTCTCTCATTGTGGTTCTTCTAGAATATGCTTCCTGAGCTGTACTTATTATCTTTCATTTCGAACTTGTTTTGAGCCTAACAGTCGTTATGAATTGTTTTATGAAATTTATGCTTGCCTATTGATGTCTTGTGGTTTTCTGTTCTTGTTTATTTATTTGTTTTGGTTATGCAAATGGCTTATATGAAGCACTGGAGCTTGTTGTTGAAAGAGTAAACTAGATTTCTAACTTTGTATTTTGTTTTGTTTTCAGTTGAGTGCAAGACAGGAACCAGTTGTTGACTCTGCAAAATATACTGCTGCTGATGTGCGCATTGTGAGTTCAAACATTTTGGACCGTTTTGTCTTATACATGCCAATTTTCAAATTATGGCATTGGTGTCCCATTCTGGTGGAAAAATTGCCTTATTGATAGAATGTCTTTGTGTCTCTATTGATGTTGGATATCTCATGAATGCAAATGTGTAAAGGAAGATTATCAAATCTAGTTATTTTTTATCAGTTGAACTTTCAATTTTGAATAAGAGTTTTTCTATATTGTGTATATTAGTATTTTGATGTTGCATTCTGAGTTCTCTAATATTGCATTATGAACAACACTTTGCATGGGACTGTTTCATTTATGTTGAAGATACTTATAAAAAATCATGAAATATTAATAGTGTAATAAAAAAGAGGTAAAAACTGCAACCTAATGTTTTGAATTGCTGCTTGCTGAGGATTGGACTTGAAGATTTTTTGGCAGGGACGGCTTGTTGTGGGCCCTTGGTTACAGGAGATTTTTTGTTTTTTGAGTGTTGCCTTGCAACATAAAAAACTGTATTGCCTCTCCTAAATCCATTGTACATCGATATAGAATGTGCATTTTGATGAGGTAGTACAGTTTTTAGCTACCCATGCACACACCAATGCTCCAAAAAACGCCGGCTGGCACCTAGGCGGCCTGGGGTTCTAGGCTGTCCAGTGCTTAGGCGGGTGCCGAGGTGGCTTCTGGGCGTCCAGGATGAAAAGGGGGCAAATGGTGTCCCGTAACCTTGTTTTAGGTACATTTTGGACAAAATGTGCATATTCATCTATTTTTTATAATCTAAACCAGTGGTTTAAAAAGCCAATCGATGTGCTGGATTGGGCACCCCGAAAACCTATTTGGATTGGTGAATCGGCGATCTGGATCGGGAATCAACCGAATCGGTCGGATTAAGCCTTAAAAAACATCCAAAAAAATTATTAAAATTCATTATAAATGTTGTTTTTTAGGAATCCAATAAGAAATGGGGGTACTCCACTAATAACTTTCATTTTTTCGCATCAATATGCGAATATTGGGATGTTCTTTCCCTGTATTAAGAATCTTAGCAAACATTTGTTAAAATCTAACGAAATAAAATATTATACATTGAAATTAGAATTGTTGGTTCATATTTTGTTATTTTATCATCATTTTACAATACAAATAAGAATAAATTTGAAAATTGTCTTATAGTATTATCTAATTTAAAAATCTAATTTACAACTATAATAAAAATAATACATTGCATAATTTATAATGTCAATAAATTAATAAATAAAATATAAGATTTGATTATTATAAATAAATAAATCTAATGTATAATAATTAGTGTTGATAGACATATAGAATTTAGTAACATAAATTTGCCATCATATATTAATAAAATTAAGAAAATATATAAAGAAATTCATCTTTGCAATGCAGGTTAATTGATAAAGCAATTTGCAATAAATTCTAAAGTGGTATGAGCTAGTGTTATTTTCCTCTATTAAAGTGTTATTTTTTTTTTTAATGTTTAATAAACCAGTATTAGTATTATTTTTTGCTTTTTTTAATATCCTATGAGCTAGTTCTAATTTTTTTAAGACCAATTAGCTAATAGTTTAATTCTATCGGTCTTTTTTTTGGGACAAGTAAATTTAAATTTTTTTGGTGAAAGAAAGGGGTGGTGGGCCCTATCAACCAATTATTATTTTTAATAATTTTTCGCTGCTTTAAATTAATATTTAAAGGCCACCATGTTATAACAGAAATTAATATAATTATGCCATTTATTTTTTGGTAAAAAGCTAGGTCCCATCCTTTAAAACCTAGCCCTAAACGCTATTAACTAATGCCATTTAGTTATTAACTAACGCTATTAACTAATGCCTTTAACGCTATTAACCAATGCCCTTAACGGTACAAAGAGGAAAATGTTAATTTATTTACCAAAAAGAGGAAAACGCTATTAACTAATTCCTTTAGCGGTATAATGCCTTTAACGCTATAGAGACGCATTAACTAATGCTACTAACAAAATGTCATTTATTATATAAGAGAGAGAGAGAGAGAGAAAAAGCTACGCTATAGCCTCCATAGTTATCCCACTTCGAAAAGTCAGGAGAGGTTTGGCATATATAAAAGCTTTCTCATCATCCTTATACGTGGGCGTCTGTAAAGCATGCATGATGGAAGGCTCGCGTTTGGCTGTAGCGAGGGGCACGTGGCGAAAGGGAGGCCTCACAAGTTATAAAAATTACAAAAATACCCTTGTGTGTCACAGTGTCATCAATTTTCTCCGTTTCACTGCAGTGAATCACCGATTTACTGTAGTGAATTGCCTGTTTCAGCTCTAGAGTCACACGGTTTTCGGTATTTCGCCGGAATCGGCATGGGGTGGCCGATTTCCGTATCGACCCGGAATCGTTGGGTCGACTAGGCTTTTTTAAAATCACTGATCTAAACAAAAAAAATATCAAAAATACCCCACCCGATAGGTATTTTTTCACTCGGGCGCAATCCCTTGGACGGCTGCCTAGGTACCTTAGGCGAGGTGGGGGTCTAGGGTCCCTAGTGGGTGCCTAGGGACAGCCTGCCTAGTCTGGGTGGACTGCCCACGCCCCCCATACCGCTTAGTCGGACCGCTTTTTTAATCAATGGCACACACATAAATGTACCTCTGGAAATATAATATACAGGATATTATGAAATGTCCATAATTGTTATCTCTTAGCTTTGAGACTAGAGGATATTTTGGTGATTACCACCTAAACTCCCTTCCACATTACAATGATGTTTGTGGTTAGCATTTGTGGACATATCAACACCGTAATCAGTCCGTATATCTGAACATTTTGCATGTTTGTATTAGAAGATGGAAAAAAAAAGTGATCTGGGATATTGCATTGCTGGCCATTCTAAATGCACTTTTAATTGTTTTCTCAGCCTGAGAGTGGCCTCCACTCTCCTGCTCTATGGGTCTTTCCCTTAAATGAGAAAGGCCTGCATTATCCTATTGCACGCATTGAATTTATACTCTTTAAATGGAGTATGTCAATCGACAAGTGGAAATCTAAGTAACATCAATTTTTTTAACCTGAGCATATGGATTGGTTTTGAGTTGACATTTGTCATTGTATGTCAGATCTGAATGAGAATTAGAGATGAAAAATATCATGCAGAAGCCCTTTATTACTGATCAAAAGAAAGGAGAGAAAAAGAAAGGAAATCTTACTTTTTATTTGCCAAATGCCAATGCAGTACCACTTCTGCCTTAATGTGTCAAGTGCTCAGGTGTTTGATGGCAGGCAGCCTCAACCTGTTCTGCGCTCTCTCTCTTCCCCCCTCGCCCCCCTTCCTCGTTCTCTCTCTCTCTCTCTCTCTCTCCCCCCTTCCCTCCCCCTCTCTCTCATACACACACACGTACACATTCACGTGCACATGACATCCTTGTTGGTCCTGGGATGGAACTTGCCACCCACACTACCATGTGGTTAACCAGTGGCATTCTTGGTTATTTTTTTCAGTGGAATAATCCTTTGTTACTGTTAAGTCATGCGCGTGATCAATAATTCTGCTTTGTGTTTCTTTTTGCAGACTGATCAGAAGTTACGTGTTTGTGACATTTGCGGGGCCTTCCTAAGTGTTTATGACAGGTAAATTTTTACGGTTCTTCCTCTGAAACTATGGTTGTGATATGAAAGTTCTATGTGCAAGAAGACTAGTGTTTGGGATATTTCAAATACTTCAGCTTTTGACCAGGCGCATCATACCTCCTTGTTATCAGCAGGCTTTTGGGCCCGGTTTTACGAGGAAAACTTTTGCAGCTTCAGAATGTGCGTGTTATCTGTTTTATGTTTGTAGATTAAAATTGTTTAGGACTCTTAGGATCACCAGGCAGTCCACTTTCCTGAAAATGTATAGGAGCAATTCATGGCAACTGACACTATCTATTGAATGATCTGTTTGATGTTATGCTGTGATTTCAGTGATCGTCGTTTAGCTGATCATTTCGGAGGTAAGCTTCACTTGGGCTACATGCAGATTCGTGAGAAATTAGGAGAACTTCAGGTATGGTTCTTCAGTTATATACTTTGGTTCATTTGTAGAGAAATATTAGTATGTATCATCATCATCATCATCATCATCAGCATCATCTTCTGAGCCTTATCCCAACTATTTGGGGTTGACCACATGAATCCTGTTCTGCAATTCTGCACCATATTATCTATGTTGACAAAATTAGCTCAACAAAATTCAGTAGGTCAACAAAATTCCTAGTTGTTAAAAGGTATAGTAATTAGTATGACACAGCTTTCTGACCAAAAATCCATCTGTACTGAAGGGACACACATTTTAACATCCGGTTCCTCTTGTTTTTGAAGATGGTTACCTTGTTTTGTTGTTTCGATTGCTGATAAAATGTTCTATAACTTATACCATAATATGTAGAATGTGTATATATAATGTCCTTGTGAGTTTCCTAGCCGCAGTAGACACCAGTATGTGCTTGTGCTATTTCCTTGTTCAAATAATGCTTGTGTGTTTGTTTGGACTTCGGCTTTCAGATATCTTATCAGTCCACTTTTTTGTTAAGGGGATCATCAGTCAAGAACTATGTCATTACAATAATTAAATAGGAGGGTGTTATGGAGTCCAAATGCGGTTAAAGATAAGTATTTTCATCCAATTTGTGTTGGGAAGTAAATATGTGAAAATACGTCTCACATAATAAGCGTTTGTCCCTCTTTGGTGGAATAGACTTATCAATGGTCACCCTTTTGGTTGGCCTCATGGCAAGCTCCATTAATCTATTGGGAAAGGCTTTATCACACTCAGCAAGGTGACTCTGTACAATATTTGAAATGGGTAATTCTATTCAGAATAACCAGCTTAGTATATGGAATTACCAGCCGATTTTATATGCCTGAATTCCAAAATGCCATATACAGGCATGCATCTTGCTTTTGGTATCATGGCAAGCTCAATTAATCTATTGGGAAAGGCTTTATCACACTCAGCAAGGTGACTCTGTACAATATTTGAAACGGGTAATTCTATTCGGAATAACCAGCTTATTATATGGAATTACCAGCCGATTTTATATGCCTGAATTCCAAAATGCCATATACAGGCATGCATCTTGCTTTTGAACTTCAGTACATTTCCTAACAACTTCTTCCTGAATCTTACTTTATAGATCTTTCAGTACGTTTTTTTGTCTTAAATGTTTTTCATTTGTTCCTGTTGAAATGTTTATTTTGTGGGATCTGTTGATTCTGCGTGCTCTATTTTGTTTTGTGTGTGTTATAATAATGATAGTGATACCAATAATGTACAGGTGCCTTTTCCTAATAACAATTCGTTCAAATGGTTCAAGTACATTGCATTTATGATTTTGGATTTGTGAATTTTTTAATGTATCGAAAACAGCATTCGTCATTTATGGCCATTCTCACTTCTCTATCTCATTGTTTGTAACTGAAGCCTTTATTAGCATTAGGTGTGGTTGGAAGTGAGCATGTTTTTAAATCAAAGTTTTATTTACCACAAAATAATCTCTTACGATTTGTCAGGAAGAGAGAAATAAGAGTCGAAAGTCAGATCGAGCTGAAGATGATAGAAGGTTGGGTTTCTCGTTGCCCCTTGCCTCCTTCCCCTCACCCTCTTTTGGGTTTTAGGGCTAGCTAAGGCAATCAATTCATTCTTTTGTTATGTCTCAGGTCAAGGGGCCAAAGTCGGGACCATGAAACGGGTGGGAGCAGGGACAGGGATAGAGAGAGGGATGAGAGAGGTGGGAGTCGTGATAGGGGTAGGGATCGGGATCGTCGAGGAAGGGATGGTGACCGTGGCTACGATAGGGGCCGTAATTACGACCGTGAGCGCGAAAGAGAAGCAGATCGCTCCCGTATTAATGATTTGAGGAGTCGGAAGAGGTCACGTTCGAGGTCAAAGGAACGTTCGAGAGATTATGATCGTGAGAGAAGTGATCGCCACAGGTAATATATTGTCTATCTCAAACTCTGGTTTAATGGCTGTACAACTAGCTTTCTTCTCCTCCCTTCCCCCCCTTCTTGAGTTTTGGTAGGCATTGTAGGTTTTAAAATGTATTATACAATAAGACGTAGTACAAGGTTACAATTACCATTAGTCGTTAGATGTGAAAGCAGATTATTGGAGGTTCACTATTGAGATTACGCGAAGTTCAAAAAAATTCTCGGACTCCGTGACATACTTTTAGCCGTCTGGCTTCAAATCTTAAAAGTCTATGATCCCTTTGGAAAATTGTTCAAGACTGGTAGAGTTGAAATTTTTTCTCTTGCGCATATTATTTTTTGATTACAAGCTGTTTGGCACTGGTTAGGCATGAGTTTCTTGAGAGATTTCAAGCAAAGGTAGAGAGAGAGAGAGAGAGAGAGAGAGAGAGAGAGAGACGACCGTCGTCGCACTGTATTGTGAGAGAGAGAGAGAGAGAGAGGAGGAGAGTCTAGTAGTAGTGTACTAGTGTGTTACGACGTCGTCGTCGTCGACTACGTACGTACGTACCGTAGTTAGGTAAGTACGTACTAAGTAGTACGACAACTAACGTAAG